GGTCCGGCGGCCCTGCGGTGGCGGCCGGCGGCCGGCGTGGTGACGGCGCCGCTCCTTGGCGGCGGGGCGGCGTGGTGGTGCCGGGTGGCCGTCGACGCGCCCCCGGCCCAGATCCGGGCACGTCGGGCCCCATCTGGGCCCCTGGGGGCCGGCCCCCCGGCATGGTCTCGTTGTCTGCGGCGCAGTGAGGAGGAGGAGCGGCTCGGACTTGGGGCGTCGACGTCGATGGCGTGCCGGCAGTAGCGCGAAGGCGGGAGCTTTACGGGCCCACGAGGGCTCGGCCAGGCCTGTGGGCCTACGGGCCTGGTGTGCTCCTGCTATTGCGTCCGGACGGCTACTGTCGCTGACGGTGGAGGTGGGGCCCTCCCGCATGCCGATGGTGCTGATGCCCTAGTCCCGGCTCTGATTCTTCGTCGTGCTGTTCTCACTTCGCGGTGCCGTGGTGAGACGGCGTGGAGGCCTCATGACCGCCTTGGCGTAGGGTGGTGGTTGGTTTTGTGGCGGGATCCGGAGTGCCCGAGGTGCGGGTTGGGATCGGGGGAAACCCCTGTCGGCGTGGCCGACCCCGGCGCGGTGGCGCCTGTGGGTGCCGCCTGACCTTCCGGGAGGGCGTCGGGGGCTACTCTTCCTATCGCCTCGTCGTGTACCGGGGGAAACCCTTGGCAGCAGCGTCGTCATCGTCGCGATCCTTCTTGGAGGTGTTGATTGGTGCCGGCGCTTCGGAGTCTTGGAGCCTAGTGGATAAGACCGGTGGGCCTAGCGATCGCGAGGCTTCTTCGTTTTTGTTGATCCGCCGTTGTCGGCATTTGTTTCTTTTGCTCTTTCTCTGTTGTTTCTTTTGGGCGTGACTGTGCTGCTTCCGCCCCGGCACCTATCCCTGTATGATCCGGTTGGTTGCTTTGTATACAAAGCGGGGGGAAACCCTTTTTCGGTAAAATATGTCAAAATATGCCAATCACAGTTTCCCCTGAAAATACCGTCTTACTATAATAATGACAATTAATATCTTGAGATCATTCCCGGGATCACTTCAAAAGTGCTGTCCAATTAATATCATGATACTCTGTTGCCTGAACATATATCAGAAGCAACTGTAACACTCTTTATCTAATGGATAGCAGTACTACCTACCATCCAGGCGAGTAATTGACAAATCATTCAGAGAGCAGCTTCCTTCAGGGACATCAGCTTCAGTTGGAAGCAACATGGATACGAAACCAGGTTGTTTTGGGGCCGGCAAGGTGGCGTTTTCGTTAGTAATCATGGAAATGACTTCGGCCATGGAGGGCCGATCAGCAGCATTCTCCTGAACGCACAGCAGGCCGACGTGAATGCATCGTAGAACCATATTCTCAGGACATGCACCGTGCAACGATTTATCAATGAGCTCGCGCCATCTGCCTTCTTTCCACAGCTCCCATGCCTGCAAAGTTCAGTTGTAGACATCAAATTACTATTTTTAAAATCAGGTACGACAATCATAGAACAATTTGAGCTTGTTGGAAATTTGACCCACATGACCAAGGAGGTTTAGGGAGTTTCCATGTCCACGAGCTGCGGCATTTCTTAGTCCACTAATGATCTCCAGAAGCAATACCCCGTAGCTAAATACATCGGACTTGACAGAGAAAATACCTGCCATAGCATATTCAGGAGCCATGTAGCCACTGAAAAAGAACAATAATCTAGTAAATTCGATGTCCATTTTCTGTATAGCGATCTTTCACTTTACATGTCAAATACCAATAGAAGTACTTACTATGTTCCAACGACTCTTTTCGTGTTAGCTAGTCCTCCTTTAGGATCAAATATTCTTGCCATTCCAAAGTCTGAGATCTTAGGGTTCATATCAGTGTCTAACAAAATGTTGCTTGGTTTCAGGTCCCTGTGAATAATTCTCAACCGAGAATGCTTGTGGAGATAAATAAGACCTTGTGCAATCCCTTCAATTATGTTAAGACGCATTGCCCAGACTAAAAAAGCCCTTCTCGATTGTTCTTGCAAAATAAGACTTGATCGGTTCAAGAAGGCATGGAAGAAAAATATAGCTATGTGAAGTAGGGATATTTATATAAAAATGAACATACCAAATAGGAAGAAATCCAAGCTTTTGTTTGGCATATACTCGTAGATTAGTAACATTTCTTCCCCGTCAATGCAGCAACCTAGGAGTCCCACTAAATTGCTGTGTTGAAGCTTGGCTATTAACAAGATTTCATTCTTAAACTCTGGTAGTCCTTGCCCTGAATTCGCTGCAAGTCTCTTAGCAGCAACATCTTCTCCATTTGGTAAGTTGCCCTGGAGCATTGTGTCAGATTTTCAACAGTCAGACATCAGTACACTCATATCTTAGAAATAAATAGATTCACCTCCCAAATACCACTATCCATCATATTGAGTTGATTTTTTTTTTTTGAAAAGGAGGTTAAACCCCCCGCCTCTGCATCAATAGATGCATGCAGCCTTCTTTATTAAATATTCAACAAGGTCTGACAAGAAATTACATCAAGCCACCCGAAGCCACCACTCACACCTACACAATTGATAATGTGGAGTGCTCTCACTCCCCATATCTCAAACCGGTGTTGTCGCCGATCCATCCACATAATGTATCAGAACCTACATCCGGTGTAGCAAATCTAAAGTGTACATCACACATACGGTTAAGAAGGCGCCATCATTATCGTCCCGCTGACCCATCTTCAGGAGAGAGATCTGCATTATCCTTGCCAGTCCGGCCACCCGTCGACGCCACCACGGCGCCCAACGGCACCACCTCCCTGCGCATGAACTGATGAGCACATCGCGGTCGCCACCGGTACACCTCAGCACCATATGCCGCCAAGTACCACCAGCCGACATAGCTTGAAGTCTCTGGAAGATCTGTCGTGCGTAGGACCTGCCGAACAGGCATGACAAATCGTAGCACCTATCGTCCAGGCATGACTTGACATCTCCACCGAAGCTTCGTACAAGACGAAGCTGCCCCACCGCCTGCCTCTGTCTTCCAGTGCTGCTCCACAAACGATGCTCCCAAGAGAGAAACAACATCGCAATGCTGCCATCGTCCGATCTGGAAGACCAGATCCTAGGGTTTCCCCCGGAGCAGCACGAGTGGGTTGACAGTAGTTACACGACGATGCCTTCATCAAGGTAACAGCACAGAACGCCGCCATCGCCTGCCATCGGCTCGGTTTTAACCGGCAACTATGTCTCCCCGACTCGCAGCCGGAACTAGATGACGGATCCCGAGATCCGAACACCCAATCTCAAGCCTGTTAGATGTGTATAGTCCTCTTTCTGTATATCCCCATTGTATAAGGGGTTTCCTACACTTTATCACACATGTATATGTATTGGCCTTTGGCCCTCAATGAATACCAGTTCCTGTTTATCTAAGATGGTATCAGATGCTAGGTTAGCCTCTCTCCCGCACGATGCAACTCCGTGCGTGCTCCATCCTAGTCGCCGCCGCTGCTAGGCTCCATCCCTAGTCTCCGGCCGTCGTCTGCTTCGCCTCGTCCTCGTTAGGACCGTTGTCCCGCTGGCCGATTCCTCTCGAGCAGGCGCACTCGAGCAGGTCCGGTTGCAGCCCGAGACCGGCCGTGCTCGGCCTCGTCAGCCACCTCGTCAGGCCTCTGCTTCTCCTCGTGCGCGTGCTGCACCGCGCCCTCTCCTCCTTTTGGCCGCTGCCGCCGCCGCCCCGTCCGGCCGCCGCCGCCGCCGCCTAGTCCGACCGCTGCCCGGTCCGGTACCGGCCCTCCCTCCGACTCCGGCAGGTCGTCTCCGCCCCCTGCCTCCCTGGTCGCGGCCGATCTCTCTGGCCTCGCTCGCTTCGTGCTTTCAGCGATTCCCTCGATCCAAATCGAGTTGAGGATCCGTTGACCAAAAAAAAGAGAAGAGAGAGAGAAATAGAAGGGAGACTTTCTCATGTCTTCTTCGGGCTATGTCGCTATCCCTCGGTGCTCGGTGATCTTCGATGGCACCAACTATGATGGGTTTGCGGCCTTCATGTGTATCCATATGCGCGGTCTTCTGTTGTGGGGCGTTCTCTCTGGCGAGGTACCCTGTCCGCCCTGCCCTGTTGCTTCGGTGGCTCCTATCCCACTGGTACCGCCGGTGCTTGCTGCTGATGCTTCTCAGGCTGATCGGGATGCAGCCAAGGCTCTTGATGATGATGCAGTTGATGCTTATGATCAGCAGGTATCCGCCTATTCTGATGCTCTTTCCGTCTACCGAGATGATCTGTCTTCTTATACTCAGTGATGCAATGATGATGCTCGAGCTGCTGTTGTTCTCACTGCGAGTGTCCTCCCTTAGTTTGCTTCGGAGTTCATGGGCCTCGGCACTGCTGCAGCGATGTGGTCTTATCTTTGCCAGCGCTATCAGCCCTCTGGCGATGCTCTATACCTATCTGTGGTGCGTCAGGAGCATGCTCTTCAGCAGGGTGACTCTTCTGTTGATGAGTTCTATTCACAGTGCTCTGCCATCTGGCATCAGCTTGACTCTCTGCTGACAGTTGTTTGTGGAGCTTGTTGTTGCTGTCAGACTACGCGGTCTGACTTGGAGTTTCAGAGGGTTCATGAATTCTTATCTCGTCGCCGCTCTGAGTTTGAGCCCCGGCGTGCTCACTTGCTTGCTCGTGGTCGTGTTCCTATCTCTGAGGTGCTTGCCGAGCTTCGTGCTGAGGAGACCCGCCTTCGCTCTGCGGGGTTGCTGGCGGTTCCGTCTGTGTTGGCTGCTCGGGCTCCTGTGTCGTCTGCTCGGCTCACTGCTCCTACCTACACCTTTAGGGGGGTGGGTCGCCCTCCTTATGCTGAGAAGGGCCGTCGCACCGTGACACCTTTTGTGGCTACTGCTCTCAGCCAGGTCACCCAGACTCTGATTGCCGTGAGAAGAAGCGAGACCAGAGGCGCTCCTCTTCAAGTGGGACTCCTGGATCTTCCTCGACTCCGTCACTCACTGACCAGGACATTCTGAGGCTCAAGCGTCTCTTGGCTTCCTCAGGCTCTTCGTCGACTGGTTCCGCTGCTGCTGTGACTGCATCCACCCCTCCATCACCTCCGGCACCTACACCGTCAGGTACATCTTCGTGGGTTTTGGATTCTGGAGCTTCCTTTCACATGTCTTCTGATTCTTTAGCATTGTCTTCTCTTCGACCTCTTGATACTCCTATTAATGTTCTTACTGTTGATGGCACATCTCTTCCTGTTGCTAGTCGTGGCATTCTTTCCACTCCGTCCTTTTCTGTTCCTAGTGTTTCACATGTTCCTCGCCTTACCATGAATCTTTTTTCCGCTGCCCAACTTACTGATTCTATTTGTCGTGTCATTCTTGATACCGACTCTTGCTCCATTCAGGATCGTCGCACCAAGGCTTTGGTTGGTGCTGGCCCCCGGTGTCGTGGTTCTAAGTCTGACAGTAATGTAGGGGGGTACTAAGGAGAGGCAAGATCCTAGCTATGGAGTAGTTGTGCACACAAGAGTTTTACGAGTTCAGGCCCTTCTCGGAGGAAGTAACAGCCCTACGTCTCGGTGCCCGGAGGCAGTCGACTGGATTATATGTGTGAGAGTTACAGGGGTGCGCACCCTTCTGCCTGTGGAGGGGGGTGGCTTATATAGAGTGCGCCAGGACCCCAACCAGCCCACGTAGCAGAGAGTTCAATGTACATAAAGGCCAGACGTTACTGGTAACGCCTTACATAAAGTGATATCATGGCCATAAAGACTACTTAATAATGGACCGTTTGGATGTAGAGTGACCTTAGATCTTCTGGCGGTCGAGTGAGTCTTCATGGTCGACTGTCTTCAAGTCCGTCGAGTGGAATCCTTCCAGGTCGACTGAAAGGTAGTTTCTTCTAGAGATGTCCTTGGGGAGGGTATTTTGGACAGGTTCGTGACCCTACCCTAGGTACATGGCTTCATCATTAGCCCCCGAATGGATCGAGGTTTGAGTGAGGAAGGAGTTGAGAATTCTTCCGACCCCTCTTTTTGTGCTATGAGTATGTCTTGTTCTGGATCAAATGACCGTAGGTGGCGGCACCAACTTCTTTTTCAGTCGCCTTGATCCATTCTTAATATCGGTCGAGTGACTTTTCTATACTTGGAGATCTCCGAGCGCCAGATCAGAGGAAATCTTCAGTCTGACAAGTTGCTCTACTGTTCGCGGATTTAGCGGGATCTGGATTTCGGGAAGCGCGCGGGGCGGAGGAAGCCGCAGTACTCGGATGGGATAAGGCAGGGATGCCTCGATTTCTGCGCCACCTTTTTCGCCACCCTCTTCCTCGAGCTCGCTCGCTGCGCTCGCCTCCACCTCCGCCTCGCTGCTCCTCGCGCGCCTCGCCGGCGACGATGGTGAAGGAAAAGACGGCGGCTTTGGAGCGGGCGAAGAAGGCGACGGTGAAGGCGAAGGGAAGAGCGCCCAGTCGGGGCGGATCCTCGTCGCGGTCCGGCCTGCCGCAAGGCTGGATCCAGGGAGACTGGATCCGCTCGACCATCACGCAGAAGGATCTCGACGACCTGGCCAACGAGGGACTGATCCCCCATGGGTCAGCAAGGCTTCCGGGGAAGGAGTGGCAGCCGCAGCCTCAGGAGGGTGAGTGTGTCCTGTTAGCCACTCATGTAGATCGCGGTTTTTCTCTGCCACCGAATCTTTTCTTTCGGAGGTTTCTGAACTTTTTTGGTGCACAACTCCATCACTTCACGCCCAACTCCATTGCCTACCTCGCCGCTTTCGTGTCTTTGTGCGAAAACTTCTTGGGTTGTCGGCCGCACTGGGGCCTTTTCAAACACATTTTCACCTGTCGCTCCCAGACGGTGAAAAAGGCTAGCCCGAATGACGAGAGAACCCAAGTTATCCAGATGTGCGGGGGTCTCGGGGTTCAGATGAGGAGTAAGAGTGCCTTTCCAGCCATGACCCTTCCCGAGTCAGTTTGAGGGTGGCAGTCGACCTGGTTCTACTGCCAAGACCAGTCGACGCCAAGGCAGTCGACTGGCCTTCCCCCGTTCTCCATGGACCGAGTGAACAAGCCATCTTCTCTGAAGGTGCTCCCGGAGGAGAAGGCTCAGGTTAGGATGTTGATGGAGCGCGTGGTTCAGCTCATTCGCGACGGGCATGGATCTTCTAGAGGTTTTCCTTCGACGGTGCATCCAGCCACTTCAGTATCGAGGGCATCCGATGTGGTTGTACTCTGGTCCCGAAGACACCTCTCGGGTCCACCCGGAGGAGGTCGATGATGCCACTTTGGAGAGGTGGATGACCGCCATCATAGGGAACAGGGACAATCCTCGTGGAGCTAG